AGGAACATTGGGGAATTTGGATTATTCCAGAAGATCACTCTAATTGCACTTTGCTTTCCAAACTTTGTTCAGCCTTTTTTCTTTGCCAGTTTTGTTTTCATCCAATCAGATCCAGACAGACACTGCAACACAGACTGGATCCTCAGTGCTGCTCCTAACCTGACCTCAGAGGAGCAGCTCAACCTGACCGTGCCTCGAGAGGAGGATGGGACCTTCAGCAAGTGTGAGATGTTTGTCCCAGTGAGCTGGGACATTGATACTATCAGAGAGTACGGACTCAATGAGACCACAGGGTGCCAGGATGGATGGGTGTATGGGAACATGCTCTACAAAGCCACCATAGTCACTGATGTAAGTGAAATTCGTTGTTCAGTAGATCTCTCACCTCCATGAAACATTACATTAATTATTTTGTTTGTCTGTTTTATTATTATTATTATTTTTACAAATACTCACAGTTTGATCTAGTGTGTGGCCAGGCCAGCTTGGTGGAAGTGATTCAAGCAATGTACATGGCTGGAGTTCTTGTTGGTTCCCTCGTATTTGGACCTTTTGCTGAATCGTAAGTGTGCTCCTTGCAGTAGTTCATGGTTCCTTTTGGACATTATCTGACTACAGAAATACTTTCCTATCTTAGCAACAGCTATCCAAATAATTTTTAAATATTTTTCATAACTTAAAAAAGAAATTGTTTGAAATTTTCAGACCCGTTTCTTTGCTTTCTTGTCAAGAGTGTGCCGCACACACTCGTTAAGATTTTCGATGACTGCATTGTTATCTCTTTAATGGCACAACATTAACCAGCAGCTCTTGTGATTTAGTGTGCTTAGTATCATAACAGAAGCTAATGTATCCCTGTGTGTTTGTCTTGGTGTTTCAGGTTCGGCCGCAAACGAGCAACTCAGATTCCAGCAGTTCTGTTGTCTGTATTCACCGTGACAACAGCTCTCTGTCCCAACGTCTACTTATATATAGTATCTCTGTTTCTAGTGGGATTTGGAGTTGGAGGATATCGAGTCAACAGCATCATACTGTGTATGAAGAGTAAACTACCTTTGCACAAACTTTGCAACTAACAATCATTTTAACTGTAAAATAATTGCCACTTGTACTCTCAATGGCTAAGATGATGTTCTTATAATGTTTTTTAGGTCCAACAAGGCTGTACTGATCTGATATTTTCCATTTACACTTTCTACTTCCACCTCTTCCCATTTATTATTCGTATTGTTACTTTTATCTTACTGTTGCCTTTGTGACCGTTTTACATATTTAAATTTACATAAGAGGCAAAATATATTCAGTTTCTAAACAAAAAGAGGATGGACAAAGGACAAAGACACATTTATGTAATTTTGCATCTGTAAACCACAGACAATCAAGATGTGATTGAAATGGAGATTTTCAACTTCTAACTTTTGGGGGAAACCATGCAAGAGAGAATTACAATAGTCAAGCCGGGAGGTAACGAGACTGTGGACAAGAATGGACGTAGACTGGGTGGAAAGAGAAGGACAAAATCTGTTAATGTTGTGTAGATGGAAATAGGCAGAACGGGTGAGATTATTGATGTCAGATTTAAAGGATAGTGAACTATCTAGGATGACACCAAGGCTCTTAACCCGAGGAGAGGGGAAAACTGTGGAGTTATTAATAGTGAGTAAGAAATGATTAGCCTTCAGTAGGTTTGATTTAGTTCCAATAAGGAGGATTTCAGTTTTATCCTCATTAAGTAAATTAGAGCTGAAGCAGGATTTTAACTGGGATAAGCATTTTGTAAGAGAAGAAGGTGAGAGAGAGGAATCAGGCCTGCAGGAGAGATATAACTGGGTGTCATCTGCAAAACAGTGAAAATGAAGATCAAATTTACGGAAAAGGGTATCAAGAGGGAGGATGTAAATTATGAAGAGAAGAGGGCCTAAGACTGAACCTTGGGGTACACCAGAAGTGACCGGGAAGAGACGAGAGCGGAATGATTTGAGTTGAATAAACTGGGAGGGGTCAAGGAGATATAATTTGAACCGGGCTAGGGGTGTGTCGGAGATACCAAGAGAGGAAAGTCTGCTTAGAAGGATGGAGTGAGAGATGGTGTCGAAGGCTGAGCTCAGATCCAAAATGAGAATGTTGAGAAGACCAGAGTCAGCTCCAAGTAAAAGATCATCAGTGACTTTAAGTAAAGCAGTTTCTGTACTGTGACATGAGCA